GGTGAGTTCATTTTTGTGTGGTCCTTGGTGGCTATGAAAATCTATTCAGTATTGTCATTATTTTATAAATATCATGTGCTGTTATTTTTTAAAATCATCAAATACACATCATAAGTTTGAACTAATCTAATATTCCAATATCTGCTTGTTTGTCCTCTCATGTGTTTTCAAACAGGAAGAAAAAAGAATGATGTTTTCTGTTTCCTTAAAACTGTGTAAGTGTTCAAACAGCACCTTATGTATGACTTATGTATACTGGCAAAACAATTCTCATGACATTGCAATTGCCCTATAAACCATTTTAAAACATTATATGTGATATAAAACTCAGGAGTGGGCATGTTCAAAGGAGGATTGCATTATGACAAAAGTAAGTGCTGGGGCAGTCTAAACCATAAGGTATTTGTAGACAGATTTCCCCAGCGACTGTACTCAGATACCCTCTTTCTACAGTGACAATATCAGAGGTTACTTAGGCCATAGTTTATTGATGCTTGTATAAGTGTTCGCAGGTAAAAGATGTAGTAATGTAAGGTACTAGCTTTTCTTCATGTCAGGAGCTGGGCTGAAGGTAGTTGGGGTTGAGGAGGAGGCTGAGTATTTGGGAAATTGAAGCAAAACGTTCTTTAAGTGGTACCACTCGGTTTTTCCTCTCTGGCAGGAAGCATTCTACCTGCAAGGTGTTGCTGGCAGATCTTTTTAAAGTGTTTCTTCTGGAATACCTTTGGGTATTCCTAACATTACAGAGGTATTTTCTATATCGGGGATATAGAACCTAGGTAGATTCCAGCTGGGTCAACATCTGTAAGTGGACAGTGCAATAGTGCCTCCTTTCCTAAGAAAGTGATCTTTGTATCTTAGTATTCAGTGGCAATTAAAAAATAGTCATGTACAAGTTCAGGGGACTCTGCTTTGTTGAAAGTACCACCTTCAGATAAAGAATTACATTGCTGTTCTAATTGCTAACAACATTAACATTTCTTGTGAGACTTTATAGTCAAATCATGCTGCATTTCTACAGTGCTCATTGTGTGTGGGTAACTTGAGAACATTTTGGTGCATGTAAGAAATAGGAAACTACCAGGTATTCTGATCTTAGTGACTCGTCCCTATAGAACAAACAGTGGTAGAAAGTTTGTACGTATAATAATAAACAATAACCAAAAGAACAATGACAAGAAGTTAACACTGTTCTGTATGTCATCTGTATGTGATTTAAATATCACAGTACTTCACTAAAAGGAGCATTTGTCAAACTTAGATTTGTCTTAAACTTTCTAGCCTTAACCTTTATTTTAACTGGAAACGTGATCTAAATGTGTTCATCTTCTCTTTTTCTCCCTTCACCTTGGCTAGGTACTTAATTATTTGTAACTGTTTGGATAGCCAAATCTAGTTTTCATTGTAACCTTTACTATTTTTGCTTTTCCTGAATGTGGAAATTTGCCCTGTTCCTTCAGGAGAGAGTTGATCAGTAATTTACGTTTCAAGTAATGAATTCCTTCCTGGAGACGTCTTGAGTGCTACCCCTGGAAGAAATTGTGGTACAACACTATATTTGTCAGAGTTTGCTTTCGAGGAAGTTGTGAAAAGCCTTATTTAGGGCCTGTTATCCACCTGCTCTTCTGTCATTTTCAGCAGTAATATTTCATTGCATTATTTCTTTCGAAACAAATTCATCCTTTGAAGTTTTCATTCCTCTGCTGTTTTTGCTTTTGCCATGTAAGATGGGAAGAATTAAACCAGTTGTAATTACTAGTTCTTCCAATGCAACGGCCTTTCATATAGTGCCCCAAGACATTCCTTTGCTTATGCAAAAATCATGACCCATGGAGGGAGAAGCCCCTAAATAGCTATTTGTAAGAAAGCTTATCTCATCATATTAGTGACATCACATGCTGTGTGATCTGACCCAGTGGTTTCTGCCCTTTAGAGTAGAAGTTATGTGGGTTAATAGTTTACTCCAAAAGTAGGCACCTAAACACAAACCTGTCAGTCTGGCAGCCTATTCCCTTTTTGTTACCTGACAGTAAGTACATAGTGCTGTAGGCACTTTAATTTTTTAAATTAGAGTTCCTTGTGCAATTTAAATCTGCACACATGCCCTGAAATACTTTGATACAGCTGAGCAACTCAGTGGCTTGGTCACGCATCTAGGTCTGATCCTTGTCCAGGGAACACAATACCTGCCTGTGTCCGTGGTTTCTATTGCTAGAGATCCTCAGAATGTGCCACTTCACAAAATGCAGTGACAGTCTGACAGTCACCATTTCTTTTTTTTTTCCCCCACTTCCCACAAAAGTGTTTTAACTGCCAGTCTTTAGGCCAGTTTTGGCATTTGGGCATATTTTTTAATGAAATGGTATAGAGAAGGCT